TAGGTTTTTCCGATCGTTTCCTTTCCCTCTCTGTGGGATAAATAACGAAAGTGGCGACTCTTTTGTTTTTTCCGCCGGTTGTTTTTTGCAGTAGCGACACCCTACAGGATAATTAAATTGTTGGACTTCCACAGGAAGATCTTTGTCACCCTACGAGGTGATTAAACTATTGGATTTCCACAGGAAAATCCTTTCTACCCTACGAAGTATTTAAACAGTTAAACTTCCACCGGAAGATCCTTTCCGGCATACAGGTAATTAAATAGTTGGATATCCACAAGAAGATCTTTTCCGCCCTATGGGGTGATTAAACTATTAGAATTATGAAGGAAGATCCTTGCTGCCATACGAGGTAATTAAATTGTTGGAGTTTCACTGGAAGATCATTGTTGTGTTACATGGAAATTAATCTGTTGGACTTCCACAGGAAGATCCTTGTCTCCATATGGGGTAATTAAACTGCTAAACTTCCACACGAATATCCTTGTCGCCCTACACGTAATTAGATTTATGGATTCCCTTAGAAAAATCCTCTCAATCCACAAGTAACTAAGTCTCATTAGGAAGACTCAACTAAAGTTTCACCTGAGGTTTCAACTAAGTCTCGTTAGGAAGACTCAACTAAAGTCTCATCTGCGAGACTCAACTAAGTCTCGCCTTAGGGACTCAACTAAGTCTCGCATTAGAGACTCAACTAAGTCTTGTCAAGAAGACTCAACTAAAGTCTCACCTGAGGGGCTCAACTAAGTCTTGCCTGAAAGACTCAACTAAGTCTTGCTTGAGGGACTTAACTAAGTATCATTAGGAAGACTTAACTAAAGTCTCACTTGAGGGACTCAACTAAGTCTCGTTAGGAAGACTTAACTAAAGTCTCTCCAGATGGACTTAGTTAAGTCTCGCATGAGGGACTCGACTAATTCTCGCCATGAAGACTCAACTAAAGTCTCGCATGAGGGACTCAACTAAGTATTATCAAGAAGAGTCAACTAAATTCTTACCTGAGGGACTCAATTAAGTCTCGTCAAGAAGAATCGACTAAAATATTGCTTGAGGTACTTAACTAAGTCTCGTTAAGAAGACTCAACTAAAGTATCACTTAATAAATTCAATTATGTCTAGACAGGAAGACTCAATTAAAGTTTCACATGTGGGGCTTAACTAAGTATTGTTTGGGGGGCTCAACTAAGTGTCACCTAAGAGCTCCATATTAACCTAGTTTAGAAGGATCATTTGAAACTTTGAAAGTTGAAAGAAGGAATAAAGCTTCGATCAGGAATCTAAGGAAAACCCAACAATAAGTCAGGATTTAAAACACTTCAACCTCTACAAGCCCTCATGCTTGAGGGATTGTGAAGTAGTATAATTGGAAGAGATCTAAGGGGCGGGGTAAATGGAATACGCTTAGTCTTTCTTCCTTCCTAAGTTACCCTTTCATGGGTTCGAGTGTCCTTGTTCAGGATTGGGCACCCCTTTCCCAAATACCTTGCTCGAGCCTCCATTTCCTCCGTTCATAACGCGCAATTGTGTAAAGCGTGGAATGGGGCAATAGACTTTACATAGTAAGTCTCAGGAATAAACTATACCTCTCGAATTTCAGGGAATCAGCCACTCATTCCTATGATGGTTGCTATATTCTAAGGAGACTCAGTTCAGACCCCTGAGACTATAAATACATCAATATCATAATATCGAAAGACAACTAATAACACCAATAAATACACAGATACAATAGTTTATCACCTCATGTGAGCTAGCTCCCAACACTCTAACAACTAAGCCTTTGACAACTCTTATCCACTATAGGATGTCAAGCTTTTGTACTTTTAACAAGTATAATACTTAAGGAGTGTGAAATGCAAAAAGAAAAATCTTAAACTCCTATTCTAAATCAATAAAGATGAAGAAGGTAAGTCGGTAAAAAAAATTAAGAATCGAGGTATGATCAACTTTCTCCCTTATATTTTCCATTTGTCTAAACATGTATATTTTTGGTATCATTTTAAATTTCTTCATCTTATACTTATAGTTCTTCTTGTTGAGTGGGATAACTAGGTAATGTATATTCCATTTAAATACAATTAAAATAAAAAGGGAAAATGAACTAAATGCATACATAAGCTCAATCATAAATCCAAACCAGAGGCTAGCAAATGCTTATATTTAGTATCAATCTTAAAGTTTGGACTTTATTCATTGTGTGTGTGTGTGTGTGTGGGGGGGGGGGGATATGACCTTATGTTTTTAGGATGATGACAGTTGATGGATAACACCAAAAGGAAACAAATGTGTACTATCGTGGATAACTTAGATCTCCAAAATCAGATTCTAAAGGACAACATCCTTCACATCCAGCAGTGGCAACAAGAGGCTGACCCTCTTGACGAAACAAATATTCTAGATACCAAACCTCTCTTAAATGAAACACCGGGAGCCCCAATGTCCGAAAATTTCAAGTCGTCATCACTAGCCATGTTTTATGGACATATAGACCACCAAGAGCATGTCGCCTCCATCAACACACAAATGGCAATTATTGTAGTCTTAGATTCCTTGAAATGTCAGCTTCTCTCTATCACATTGGGGACACATCATTAAGGTGGTACATGAGTTTGCCATAACTCTCGATCACACTACTACAAAGTTGGGATTCAGAGTGTGGTCTCTGAGCCACTTGATCTTGATGGTCTCTTTGTTAAAGCATGCAAGATACTCCCTAAAGGACTCTAAAGAATCTTGGAGAATGTTGAACATGATGGTGGTAGACATCTTTCTATGTTTGCTTGCCTCAAATTGATGGACCAATTTATTTACTAGGATCTGGTAGTTGGTGACACTACTACAAATACTATATTTCCTAACAAAAATTTAACTAGATAATATAACCAGCTGAGGTACATTCACTTCTATTAGGCGCTCTACTTTTAATTTTTAATTATAAAAGATATCATTTATTCCCTCGGTTTTGACATTCAACATAAAGGAAATGTGGCTCAGAGACCACACTTCGAATCCCAACTTCGTAGTAGTGTGACTGAGTTGTGGCAGACTCATGTACCACATTAATGTTGCATCCCTGAATGTGACAGAGAGAAGCTGACATTTAAAGGTATCTAAGACTACAATAATTGTCATCTGTGTGTTGATGGATGTGACATGCTCTTGGTGGTCAATGTCTCCATAAAACATGGATAATGATGACGACTTAAATTTTTTTGACATTGTGCTCCCCATGTTTAATTTGAGAGAGGTTTGGTATCTAGAACTTCTGTCTCATCAAGAGGACATGCCTTTTGTTGCTGCTGTTGGATATGAGGATGTTGTCATATAAAATCTGATTTTGGTGATCTAAGTCATCTACGACGGCACACATTTCCGCTATGACGTCTTCATCACCGCCAAAACTACTATTGGTTGGAGTTGTTGCCCGCTTGTTCACCATATTTGATAGAGGGGTTGAAGATGTGAATAGAAATTTGATTGTTTGATGCAATGGTGATCCATATCAATTTTATCGGCCATATAGTGGGCTTCAATTGTACTTTCCAAAAGTACAATGAGTGACAACCCCTAATTGTTTAACGATGTCTTAGAGTTTTAAGGTTGTTGTTAGTGTTATAGAAAGCTCACGCGGGATGATGATAAACTCTATACTATATGGTTTCAGAGTGAATTGGATATCTTATATCAACCTCGTGGTTGAGGTATTTATAAAGATTTATTAGACATGGATTCTTGAGCCTGTTAAGTGGTTATTCTGCCCCTCTTAGGAGCGTATACTTGTTATTTTCCCTTTTTCTTTAGAAAAGTGTGACTTTTTCCTTTGGCTGAACTTCTATATTGTTAATGCTTAAGGACACGTCAATTCTTACATTTCATGAGTGGGTAATAGGTGATTTCTCAAGCCTAACAAAAGGTCAGTGATGTGACCAACAAACAAATGATTCGATTAAGGGGAGGCTAGAAGCCTCACTTTAGACGATTTGCGATATAGTCTGTTCTTATTGAACTTTATACTACCTTCTATGAATTCTTTACAATCATACAAACAAAATAAATTTAAAATACTAAGTAATGAGATTAAGAATGTGATAAAAATGCACGAAGAACAAACATGTGTGATAGATTAATATCCTACATGCATAATTTTACCGAACAAACTTGTCACATGCATTTTATGACACTAATATTAAATACATGAATTTATTTTTGTGTATTATTTATTATTAGGACCTAACATATTGATTCACTACAAAATTAATTTTTTTTCAAAAGAAAAACAATTCAATAGTTATAACTTTATTCTTGTTGTATATATAAAACTTTGACTATTCAAATTTGTTATACCTCAATGACTTTTTAGACCATTGTTCCACGTTCAAATCTCATTAGATTTTCATGATTTTTGATGCAATTAAATCCTCCACTAACATATTACCACATGGAGTGTATTGATCTCATTCCCAACCAAAGCATTCCAACTAATAAGAGAAAAGCCTTGATAACATCATAAGAAAAACACTAGTCATTACCATTGTCCCTTTAAATCAAAATTTCTCCCAAACCACAAATCCATTAAACCCTTGAAAACACTCATTAGAAAGCTCACATAAAATCCTAACCGATTTAAAAAACCTCGCCCTTATCCATAAAACACAACTCAAGTTACAATCAATTAAATAAAGCTTAAAAGCACACCCAAAACAACTTTTAACACCTCAAATCCAAGCCATAAACATAACTCTCGGCTCCCTCAATTACACTCCACCAACCGTCGATAGAAACCACATCCAACGGCTCACGAAAATTGCTAGAATAAATAATCAATCCGTGTGAAGAGTCTCTCAACCAATTAAAATTAAGTAATTAAGTATTGTCACAAACACCCTTCACTATTTAAACTATCAAAACTCATAATTTAACTCACACCAATTTTCCAACTTCTTTCTTATTACTTATACACCCAATTAATTAAACTTTAAGATATTTCAATTAACTTATCAATGGCATCAAAAACTTCCAAACCACTTGCTTCACATCCTACTTATGAAGAGGTTAGATATATATATTTTTATTTTATAATTTTGTTAACTAATTGTGATTTCAACTTTTAATTAGACCTAATTTATGATTTGCATGGTTTAATTACAGATGATTAAGGAAGCGATTGTGGGGCTGAAAGAGAGAACAGGTTCAAGCCAATACGCGATTGCGAAGTTCATCGAAGAGAAACACAAACAACTTCCTCCAACTTTCAAGAAGCTATTGCTTCAGAATTTGAAGAAGAGTGTTGCTTCTGGAAAGCTTGTTAAGGTTAAAGGCTCCTTCAAGCTTTCTCCGGCGACGAAACCAACACCGGTGGCTAAAAAGCCCGCAGTCGCAAAGCCGAAGACAAAGCCGGCTTCTAAGGTGACAGCGGCGAAGGCCAAGCCAGCCGCGAAGCCGAAGGTTGCTGCAAAGGCCAAAGCTGTAACCGCCAAGCCGAAAGCTACTGTTGCGAAACCCAAAGCTGTTGTTAAGGCTAAGGCTAAGACTGCGAGGACTTCGACGAGAACGACCCCGGGGAAGAAGGTTGCTATTGCGAAGGCGGTTGTGAAGAAAGCTGTGGCGGCGAAGAAAGCTCCGGTGAAGAGCGTGAAAGCGAAAAGTGTGAAGACTCCGGTGAAGAAAGTTACGACGAAGAGAGGGGGAAGAAAATAGATTTAGCGTTTGTTTAATTTTACCGCCTAATTAATGTATTGTTGCAATAGATTGTTTATTTTTCTTTATTTCACAGGATCAATATAGGATTTATCAGAATTATTTTTAATTTTAGATGTTTATTAGACAATCCTATGTAAATTGCTTGTGAGGTGGTTAAATGAATATATGTTTTTAACATTACAATATGGATGGACAATTAGTACAATTAGTGCAAACCTATGTATATTTTTTTCTCTAAAACTCTCAAAATCACATTGTTTTAAAATTAATCATCACATCAATTTTTTTCAATCAACACCAACTACATTAAAACCCCATTTAACTATATCAACTTTAAAAATTTTATACTTTTTGTAAGCTTTTGATCATTGAAAACTTTTGAGTTTTTGTATAAATTTGTAAATATTGAAAACATAATTTATGCATGTTTGATAGTTAATACATTATGAGAAATGTGTTTCATAGTTAAAAATAATAATCAATGTATTATTTTTGGAGTCTGGGTGATCTGCATTAGTACTATCGAAGAAAATAGAAGTTGAAGGAAAATCTAGAGACGCATCTTTGTATTTTTTCAATGTTTGGATATCTAGAAATTTGAGTTGCATCTCCGTATTTTATCAATCTGCATTTTTTTTTTATACTTTTCTTGCTTGTAGGGTTCCTTGTAGTATTTGAGTAACAGTTTTCTGATTTACTTACAAGCATTATGTCTGATAGAGACGACATATTGAGGCTTGGCAGAATTGCACAACATGCATCTGTCCCGAGGGAAAAGAATCAGGTTTCGCAAGTTCTTGTTTCCTCTAACTCGGTTGATGCAGAGGCTTCGATTTTTGGAATTTATATATCTCCACCTTTTTTTTTGCGTAGGAGACATGTTTCATCACTGCCTTCATCTTTCCGTAGGCGATAGGTTTCACCTACTCAGGCAGCAAAGGTACTCGAGTCACCGGAGATACCACAGTCACTAGAGGCATCATCTTGCTAACGAGTGATTTCAGGCTGCTTCACTGTTATTTGGAATGAATGACTTATACAAGATCGATTATGTTACGGTGAACCACATAATGCTTAATGCATTTTTAGAAAGATGACATACTAAGCCCTCATCATTTTATCTACCACTTGGTTAGATAGGTGTCTATCTTGTGTTTTAGGCCAAAACAAGCTTTAAAACCCCCTAATTATTGTTTTTACTTTACATCACATAATATTCCTTATTCTAAGTTTGCATCCTTGTGGAGACACATTTAATTTTATTACTTGATAACAACACTAGTACACTTTCTAGTAAAATGTCCATCACTCACGCCCTTCTTGACGTGGTTATTATGCTTTGTCTGTTTATCTTATAGGGTAAAGACTCCTACAACTCATGAAATCTTTATTCCTCAATCGGAGATTCATACCTACAACTATGTTGCTTTTGTGGAGTACAATATCACAAATGCAGAGTACATCACTATTTTGTTGTATTGGTTCAACAACTTTTTTTATTTATATTGATTATATAACATTCATCCAAAAACTACAATTATATATTTTAATCAAGTGATTTCAAACACAAGAGTGATGCAAGAGGTTCAATTGTGATATTTAATTTTAGAAAAAATCTTAACTTTTGATATTAAAACATTTTTTAGAAGAAATAAGAAAATACAGATAAAACAACATAGAGAGATAGAAGAAAAAGAAATAAGTAGTCGAATAATATAAACGGTAGAAAATAAAGACTTAAGGGATTGCGAGATTACACTAAAGAATTATATTGGTTCGACTTAACTACTGGATCTACTCTAGCTCCCAATAATTTCCTCTTGAGATTTCGCTCAAAATAATTTTGAGTTTTTTTTATGATCATCGGAAAAACCTTTCATAACAACTTAAGCTTTTGCACATGATCTATCTAACAACCTTTCATAGACAAACAAATTTTTTATGCGGGCTTAACCAGAAACCCAAACCATATCTTTTTACAAGTATAACTCAATAACCTTTACTAGAGCTTTTATATAGGCTATCTTTAAGAACAAATTTTTTATAAGTCATTTTCCTACCTATGTTCTCTTTTTTCAGGTTTGTATCCAATACTAATTAAATGTTTTTTCTGTACTCTTTTCCCTTTCTTAATCATAAATGACTTTTTTGATTAAGACTCAACAAATTCTTGAAATTGAGCATGTAATAACTATATATTCAAATAAAAAAAGCCCACAAGAAAAAGGAACAAACAATATAAACCTTTCAAACGGGGGTAAAAACCAAACAAGAACCTTTAGAAGACGTGACTTGTTTGCTGCATGATTTTGCCATTTTCTATTTTGAACTTTTAACTTTAATTAAGACCATAAGTAAATATTTCCTTAGAGAATGAAACTCCATCAACTTAATATGTTGGTATTCATCAACATTGATTTTGTCGGACAACTCTAAGTGAAACTATGTCATTTTTTAAAGATAGAACTACGACTTAACCATAGCTGAGTTGATAAGAAGTGAAATCTATAGAAGTCTTTTTTGATTTTCTTATTGATCATATGATTTCTTCTAATGTTTCACGATATTTTTTCAATAGAGCCTTTATCCATTAAGTAAGGTAGTTGGTAACCACAATGGCGAATTCATGTCTTTTTTGAAAACATGATATATAATTGTCAAGAAGATCCATAATACATCCTTAATAAGAACAAAATTTGATAATTAGATGTCCTTTATATTGACCCATAAAATTGGGATAAACTTCACATCCTTTAGTGTGTTGGAAAGAATCAAATGTTATTTTTCACCAATAATATTCATGGTGTATGATGATAAAAAAAAGTAATATGACATTTGAATGAGTAATTCCTCTCAACGAATAAATAAAAAATAATGAAAACAATACAAAAGAGACGAGATAAAAATGTCTTTCTATGTATGAGAGCTTCATGAATGTGAGACAACACCCCATCCTAAAGCTCAATTTATATATATATAAGTTTTATTCACAGGATAAACATTATATCAAGTATATCATGAAAATAGCTTGTGATATGTTGTTTGTAATTTATTTTTATTTTGATAGTTCTCATATATCATGATGATGGTTTATAGTATCAATTTATAGAAAATATATGTTGAACCTATTCTTGTTTTCTTTGATTGTACAACATCTTATACCTAAACTTTTAAGTAACAATGTCTATGATAAACACAATTATTTTGTTTACAAAATTTTTTATTCTCGATCTTAAAAATACACACAATAATGACTTTCAAAGTATATTATCTTATTATTAACAAATAAACTTAACACAAAATTTAAAATTTTCCTCTCACAAAGTAAACAAGACATTGACTTCAAATACACCAAGATACATTAGCATACTACAATTTTATTTCTAAGACTTTACTTATGCTGAAAAATCATTAGTTTGTTAAAATAGAATATTAATTTTATGCAAATGAATGACAATTCAACCTAATGTATGAGTAGTTAGTGTGTGTGATAGTCTTTACACAACACTTGGCAACACAAGTTTACTAGTAGGATTTGTTCAACTTCATTGACCTTTTAGACAATTGTTCTATATTCAAATCTCATCCGTTTTCCATGATTTTTGTTGCTATACAATCTTCAGTTAATCTATTATCACAAGAGGTAGGTTGATAAAATTCCTGATGAAAGCATTCCCCTGAATTAGAGAAAAACCTTGATCACATAATAAAAAACCCTAGTCATGACCACTGTGCATTCGAACCCGAAATTCTCCCAGACCACCAATCCATTCTACAAGGTGAAACACTCGTTAGATAGCTAATGAAAATTTCTAGAAGATGTAGAAAAAATCAGCCAAATCCATAAACCACAGCTCATTTTATGACCAAATGAATCTAGCTTAAAAACACAACTAAAACAACCGACACCCCCAATCTAATATTTCTTCATACTATTCTCCACGGATCAATGAAAACCAACCGTCGATAGAAGCCTCATCGAAGGGCTCACGTTAAAGCCAGAAGAAGGTATCGATCCTTGTCGGGTTCCCTGAACCAATGAGAATTAAGCAACCGAATATCATCTCAAACACACTTCACTATTTAAACAATCTAAATTCTCTACATTTTCTCACGCAACAATTTCAAGTCTCACACATTAGAAGTCTTTCGCAGTAATCCATTTCTTTTCATACGCATTCAATTTAGTCTACAATGGCCACCGAAGAACCCATTGTCGCCGTGGAAACTGTTCCCGAACCAATTGTCACCGAGCCAACAGTCACCGAACCTCAGGTTCCGGAGAAGGATGAACCAAAGGCTGAAGCTGAGAAGACGAAGAAAACCAAGGAATCGAAGCCTAAGAAAGCTTCCAAACCACGAAACCCTGCTTCCCATCCTACTTACGAAGAGGTTTGGTTCCATTCAATTCAATTTACTGTTTTCTAATACTTTGTGTATGATTTTACTTTTTTGTCATGAATTATAGTTGTAATTGGATCTGATTTTTGATTGGTTTGATTGAATTGCAGATGATCAAGGATGCAATTGTATCACTGAAGGAGAAGAATGGTTCGAGCCAATACGCAATTGCGAAATTCATAGAAGAGAAACAGAAACAGCTTCCTGCTAACTTCAAGAAGCTATTGCTCCAAAATTTGAAGAAGAAAGTTGCTTCTGGAAAGCTTATTAAGGTTAAAGGCTCATTCAAGCTTTCAGCAGCTGCGAAAAAGCCTGCAGTCGCCAAGCCGAAGACGAAGACAGCTGCCAAGGCGAAGTCTGTTAAGGCTAAGCCAGCTGCTAAGCCTAAAGCAAAATCTGTTAAACCAAAGGTTGCTTCAAAGGCTAAAGCTGTAGCTGCGAAGCCCAAAAAAGCCGCTGCCAAGCCCAAAACTGCTGTTGCCAAGACTAAACCTACTGCTGCCAAGCCCAAGGCAGCTGTGAAATCGAAGTCCAAGCTGAAACCAGCGAAGGTTGCAAAGACATCGGCCAAGACAACACCTGGTAAGAAAGTTGCCGCTGTTAAGAAAGTTGTTGCCGCAAAGAAAGTTCCGGTTAAAAGTGCAAAGGCTAAAAGCGTGAAGTCACCCGTGAAGAAGGTTTCAGTTAAGAGAGGTGGAAGGAAATGAGTGTTTAGTTTCGTTTTTGTAAAGATCTACGTTCTCGATTTAGTTTCTTGTACTAGTATTAATTAAGTTTTTATAATACATACACCATTTTCTGTCTATTTGTTTCTTTTAAGTTTATAGTTTAAAAATTTTGGAAAGTTGTCTCCTATATTGCTATGATAATCGAAAATAATAAATAAGCATGAATAGTTAATCTTAATTCTAATGTAACCGTAATCTTGAATTATCAAGTTGAAAGCCGGGTAGAAAAGTCGTGTCCGATGAGGCAGTAAAGTTATGGATTCGTCAAGTGGATTCGAATGAGACAGCCAGGACCATCTTAGCATGTTGCATTCAGAAAGATAAGTAATCAGTCATATTGTGAACAAGTTTAAAGTGGAAGTTATTGTTATGCTCAGCATGTTCCATGTCAAGCAGCCACAAATTGTTTTAGCATTAGTTATTTCACCTTGCATTCATTGTTGGATGGGATTTTGAAGCTAGGTATTGGAGTTTGAGTTTGAAGAATTATTGAGAAGGAATATATTTTTTTTTGGCTTATTGTAACTTGTGTCCTAGGAACACATATATTAAAATACATAAAAGATATGTATGAAAAAAATCAATAAAATTATTAATTATGCTAACTTGTATGTTAAAAAATCAAATAAATAAAAGATATGTATGAAAAAAAATCAATAAAATGATTAATTATGCTAACTTGTATGTTAAAAAATCAATTAAATAAAAGATATGTATGAAAAAAATCAATAAAATTATTAATTATAAGGCTGTATTAAATTTATTATATAACTTTTAAGAATTATAATTTATATTTATCTCTTAACTTGTGTCTCAAGGGCATAAGTTAACATTATTCTATATTTTTTTACAAGAAAATATTAAATACCTAATCGAAGAAATTTTGTATAAAAGATATAATAATCTAGGACTTAGAAATATTTTTGGCTTAGATTGAATTTCGATGATAACTGCTTTAAGAAGTGTTTGACATGTGCAATTTAAGATTGAGACTGATAATTGTTTTTGGCCTTATCTGTTTTTAAGACACGTGGAGAGTTTTGAAGCAGCGAAATGCATGCAAATTGAAAACGTGACGCTTTCTTACGTTAGCAGCGGAAACAACATTTAATTTTTCAATAATCATAAGAAATAAAATATGTTAATCAATCATCAACGGTAAAAAGCACGCAACATCCCATAACCTCAGTGTTACATATCAGAGAAGACGCCAAACTAAAAGAATAAACGGAAGACCTCATCTTCCACTCACATCTAAGCTCCTACTACGAATTATTTGCACATTACCCACGTGGAGGCAATATTCAAACATAAGGGGTGAAATATCATGATAATATAAAGGAAAACATGTTAAACAATATGCATTACGTTAACACATACGTTATCACCTATTCTACAACACAACACACCCAACACCAACACTAAGTTATCCAAACATAAAGATAACACAACAATAATTCAACTACTTAGCTCATATTAGTCAACCAACAACATCAACACCAACACTAAGTTATCCAACAACCAACATGTAAATCACATGATAACCAATTCAATTAATCACAACAATACCACATATTAGAAACATAGCCACATAGTTAAAAATATAATGCAATGAGACTCACAATGAGACTCAATGCATATGCATGCGGTACCAATTTTCGTGAACACTCAGGTTCACAATTCTGATCCCCACCTCCTAAGATCAAAACAACTCACTGATCCATCACCTCCGAATCAGCTACCAGTCCAATCCACACAAAATGATTTTAGGTGCACCAACAACATACCATTTGTCCACAAATGTATGTGTTAGCTCTCAATATTCAACGCTAGTTGATTTTAGCATCACCTCAAGTCAAAATATCAATTTGAAACATGTCAACCTTTCGACACAATCAGAGAACAATCCAAGTCGAAGGGAGGTAGACAAAGCTACTAAAATTTACTAAGTGCTGAGAAGTGCTCGACAAGAGTCACGCTAAGAAGAACGTGCAGAAGTCACAACCAAAATTGGAGGGAGATATTAATTGTTCAAAATTCAAACCAAGAGTGGACGAACGTGGGAACGGTTGAGATAGTGAAAAAAGCGCCAAAAGGGACACGTTGTGAAGCCTCAACCGTCATTTAGTAGTTATATTCTAGTACTATAAATAGTTGTCATTTTTATGTAATAAGGGTGTTCATTCATTTTATACTAGTCACTCCAAACAACTCAAAGTACCCGCGCATAGAGAAACGCGTTAGCGAGAATGTATGTGATACAACACCAACCTTTTTTCATTAATGCAATTTACTTGCCTTTACCCATTATGCACCTTTACTAATTATGCACTTTAACTTTCAGCTTTTACATTTAAACCATTTCACAAGCTTTTTATGTGTTTTACTTTCAAAGATCCCCTAGTCGAACGTGGAGTTCAGACTAGAGTTATTTTATGCCATTTAACTTTTCTGCACTTTTAACCTTTCGCCCATTTATTTCCAAAGCTATTTACCTTCTTGCAATTTAACTTCCAAAGATCTCTAGTCGAACGTGGAGTTCAGAGTAGAATCTTCCGCACACTTATTTTCAAAGCACTTTACTTTCTTGCACATTTATCTTCAACACCATTTACTTTACAAAGACGTTATAGTCGAACGCGAAGTTTGATTGTAATCTCTCGCCCTTTACTTTACAACATTTACTTTTAAAATCTTTTACATTACTACACTTTTACATTTTTGCTTTTAATCTTCGACGCATTATTTACTTTCTTTTAAATCTTCAAGTCATCTTACTTTTCAAAAGGTTTCACAGTCGAGCGTGGAGTTCAACTTAGGGTCTTTTGCACACTTAGCACATGTTCTAGGATTTAGTATGGTCGATCCTGCAAGTTAGTCAATTTTACCCTAAATTGATAGACCAACAGTTGTTTACCAAAATTCACAGTAAACAAATTGGCACACCTGGTGGGAACCAGTACTAAGCATTTCAAAGTTTACATTAATCTTTTGTGGGCGAATACCTCGTTGTATGTTATTAAGAAGTGGAAAGTTAGCCACTACGCACGAAGAAGTACCAAAAAGAAGATACACTAAACGAAGGACAACAAATGCTACTCAACAAGTTGATCCTCAAGGAAGCATTTCAAATGCTTAGTCGAACATGGGGTCTCAGAATACTCCATACCCAGTTTCTTTGACAAGAGGACATACGTCACCACCGGTAGTGGTATCTGAGCAAATGCAGTCCATGGTGAATCCAGGATCAACATGTGTACGAACGCACACTCAACCTGTGTTGGAATATGTAGGACCCCAAAGTCCTAATTTGCCAACACCCCCAGGAAGTTCGATATATAGGCAAGTTCCTCCTCCAGGTTTCTCACAACCATTACTAAGGAACCAACCATATGGTATGCCTACGTCAATAATGCAGAATTTGCAGAATGCTCCATCCATATTTTCAGAAAATGTGGTATCTTCGCCAGGGCAAGGAGCTGGGTTAGGCGGTCGAAACAACCAGAGCATATGTGTTGGTTATTTTGGGTAAGCACCTAGTCTTACAACTACATCTATAAACTGCTTAAGACAACAAATGGATGAAAGTAATATGCAAATGGTGCACACGTTGTCTCAGACGATGGGAGAAATCTTTCAACCCCTAATTCAGAATACTACTCAAACCAACCAGCAGGTGGTGACGCAATTAGCCAATATGGCTGATTTTATGGGAGTACCAGCATTTGAGCAAAGAGCTACAGTTGTTGAGAACGTCCCACGGTATCAGCAACAGAACGTTCACGAGGCGAATATGGAGGATCATGAAATGGGTGAACCTTTCAGAGTTGAACTACAAAGGAACCAGGTACTAGCCCATATGGAGGAAAAACCAGGAATAGTCATGGTGAACAGAAATCAGAATGCTGACCAAATACTTAGACAAGTTCGACGTCATGATGCAGCGGAAGAAAATAACCTTGCAGCTATGGTCGAAAGAATAATGACTAGAAATGGAGCAAACTTTGGCTTTACAAGGCCAAATTATACTTCACCTATAGTGGATTATATTTTGCAGGCTGAGTTACCTCCTAGGACAAAGGTTCCAAAATTTAGTAAATTTGTAGGGGACGCTACCGAATCGAATGTCAAACACGTGGCTAGGTACATGATCAAAGCAGGAGAGATATCTGGTGATGAGAGCCTCAGGGTCAAATACTTCCCAAGTTCTCTCACAAAAAATGCTTTTACATGGTTCACTACTTTGCCTCCTAATTCAGTTTATAGTTGAGCCCAATTAGAGCGTTTGTTTCATGAACAATTCTATATGGGGAAAACCAAGATTAGTTTGAAAGAATTGGCTAGTATCAAACGTAAGGGTGCTGAGCCAATTGATGATTACCTGAATATGTTTCGACTTCTTAAGGCCAGGTGCTTCACGCAAGTGCCAGAGCACGAACTAGTCGAAATGGTTGTAGGGGGTTTAGATTATTCCATCAGGAAGAAATTGGATACCTAATATCTCAGAGATATGACACAGCTAGCTGATCGATTTCGACGTCTAGAAAGGCTAAGAGAAGAGAAAACTAAGTTCAATAAGGGTAAAAAAGTAGCTTTTGTCGAATGTAACGAAGATTTTGAAAATCTGTATGATGAAACACTTTACTTTGATGAGCATGAGATTGACGTTGTTGAATTAAAGCAGGGTCCACCTTATGCCTGTAAACTCTTGGCTCCTTCAAATGGGAAAAATACCATTGAGTCTAATGACAGATTTCCTAAAAGAACATACACTTTCGACGTTACTAAATGTGACAAAATCTTTGATTTGTTAGTCAATGATGGACAAATAATAGTGCCTGCTGGCGCTAACATGCCTCCTTTAGAACAAAGAAAGAAAATAGGTTTTTGTAAGTACCATAATTTCTTGGGTCATAAGACTTCTCAATGTTTTCTTTTCAGGGATCTGGTGCAAAGCGCCATTCAGGAAGGAAGGCTGA